CCGGGGCCACCTGGCGCGTCGCACCGCTGGCGAGGTCCATCAGCCAGACCTGGGATTCATTGGCCGACAGATAGCGCGTCAGCGACACCTGACGCTCGTCGGGCGACGGGCGCCCGGCCGACCAGCCGCCCCCGTCGAGCTCGGCGAGCTTGCGGCGGCCTTCCGGCTGCAGCGGGTCCATCAGCCAGAAGGTCGTCGTGATCTTGCTGCGCGTGCCGCCCTGGGCGGTGCGGTCGATCGGCACCGATGAATAGATCATCTGGCCGCTCTTGCGCAGCCAGGTGTTGAAGGCATGGCGCTCGTCGGGGTGGGTCAGCAGCACGGGCTGCGCGCCGGCCACGTTGAGCGGCAGGCGGTAGAGCTGGCCGACTTCGTTGCCGCCGGCAGCCCGCTCGAACACGATGTAAGCCCCGGTGCGCGGCTCGTAGGTCGCACGCACGACCGGGTCGGCGCCATCGGTCAGCTGCTCACCTTCGGTCAGCGGTGCCGTCACGCGGAAGATCTGCGCCGTGTTGGCGCCGGCCTTGCGGTGGCTGACGAGCATCTCGCGCTCGCGTCGGGTGCCAGTCGGCAGAAGGCGTGGCCGCGGAAGTCGTTGTAGCGGCCGATGGCATCCGCCAGGCTCTGCGGCACGGGCGGGATGCCCTGCGCGACGAGGTTGGGGTTGGGCGCAATGACGGCGGCGGGCGCCGTCGGCGTGGGGCTGGACGCGCAGGCGGCGAGCAGGGCCGTGCCGAAGGCGCACAGGGACAGTCGGAGTCTCAACATGAATGAAGACCTCAAAGAGAAATGGGCGCACGAAGCGCCCATTCTCGGGTGGCGCGGGCTCCGGTCGAACCCGCTGTGCCAGTCGTCATGCCGTTGGCTGGATGCCGGCGATCAGCCAGCCCTCGCCGGCCTGCACCAGGTGCCAGATCTCGTCGAAGTCGGTGGCCGCCTGCTCGCTCTGTTCGCGGATCAGGCCCCAGAAGCGGACCGACACCACCTGCTGGCCATCCTCGGTCGCGACGTCGACGACGCGCGCATCCAGCTGCAGCACCTCCGTGCGCTGGGCCTGGCCGCCGCGCTCCAGCAGGTCCTGCTGGATGCTCGCGTACATCTGAGGCGTCGTGAAACGGCGCAGGTCGGCCTGATCGCCGGCGTCGTTGGCAGCCTGCAGGCGGATGAACACCTGCTTGGCGATCTTCTCGAAACCGGCCGCGTCGAAATCCGCCGGGAGGGTGCCAGTGCCGGCAGCCACGGGTGCGGCAGCGGCACTGCCGGCTGCCATCGGCGCCGGGTTCCATGCGGGTTGCGCCTCGCGGAACGTGGCGCCGTTGGCACCGGCC